CCGGACATGTCCGGGGAAATCAGGACGAATGGTAACCCTACTTAATACTTGATGCCAGTTTGCATCGGTGCATTCGTCAGCCATGTATGCACATTTTCTGAATGCAGTGAGAGAGCCCTTCACTTTTTTAACTGGTGAGTCTTTCACTGTTGCACTGCATGCTTCTAACCAGTCCGTTGAGTTTCTTGCAGAAAGATAGCGAGCATTTGCCAGGCTTAGTCAGAACCAGTGTCCAACTAACAAGTGACAATACACTTAACATTGGCCTCCAGTTTGTAGTGTTTGGTATCTTTTGCTTAAATAGAAAGTATGATGTGACAGCCATGTTTGTTTGCATAAACTGTGTTGTCTCTCCAGCATTCTTAACAGCCTCATAAAGTACTTCTAAAATTGGCTTTGACAGTGACTGGCTTATAAAGTTTTCTGCATGTCTAGGTAGTCCAGAGGCTTGGTGTTTTGCAGCCTTTTCACATAGGTTGTCAGCATTGGCTTGCTGATCAGTCTGGCAAACCAAGCTCCTCCACTTTTACAATATAAAGCCATGGTATGCCCACATCTTGAATACTGCATGCAGTTCTGGTTGCCCCATCTCAAAAAAGATATATTGGAGTAGGAAAAGTTACAGAGAAGGGCAACTAAAATGATTAGGGGTATGGAACAGCTTCTATGTGAGGCGAGATTGAAAAGACTGGGACTTTTCAGCTTGGAAAAGAGACCACTAAGAGGGGACATGATAGAGGTCTATAAAATCTTGATGTTGGAATATGTAAGGGTTAAGTAGAGACCAGGGAGACTGCTGGTGTGCTGGTATGGTATTAGGGAGTAGTAGAGGCACAGGCAGGCACCGTTTCTTCGCTTGATAGATAGGTGTCATCCCTCACCCTCCCATTCAGCTTGTTGGGGAATAAATAAATGTTGCAGCTGCATAAGGAATGTAGTTGTCTAAAGGATACCTTTGTGTAAAGAAGTGTTATCTCCCCATCCCTTCCTTTCCCAGCTACATAAACGACAACTGCTCATGGCCCCTCCCTCCCTCCATAGAGAACTGCTGATTAAGGGAACTTGTGGCAACCAATTACTGCAAAGAAATGTATTGTCAAGGTAAAAATGTGTGTATAATATGCGTAATGCTGTAATCAGTCAATAGGGGTGGGTATAATCATAGTATGGGTGTTTCTATTACTTAATAAGGGTTTTTGGGGTTGTAACAGATGTAGGCGTTTACATACTAACTGAAATAAAAAGAGTGTGCTGTAACTAATCCAGTGCTTGCTTGACAATTGGGTTGAGGCGAACAAGTATCGCAATAAAGAAGCCTGAACTCAAATCCGCCTCTGGGTCAACCTGCTCCTTCTTCTAACGCTTGACTGATCTGGAGAAAGTGAATAAGGAAGTGTTATTTACTCCTTGACATAACACAAGAACTAGGGGTCACCCAATTAAATTAATAGGCAGCAGGTTTAAAATAAACAAAAGGAAATACTTCTTCACACAACACACAGTCAACCTGTGGAACTCATTGCCAGGGGATGTTGTGAAAGCCAAAACTATAACAGGGTTCAAAAAAGAACTAGATATGTTCATGGAGGATAGGTCCATCAA